GTTTGGTCAATATCCAGAATCTGGCTGTAGTCATCCCAGGGCTCGTAAGTCTACGCTAGGATTATGCCACTAACAGCGGTGTTCACGATCGTCTTTTTGATAGCAAAGATTCTTCGATAGACACCCTAAAGACAAAGAGGCAATATCATCCCTGCTGCCCACCATCCTGGTGTCACTTCTCACCATCCTCATCCCAATGATTCTCCTCCTGATCGCAAAGAAAGCGCACACGATTATCACGTTCAGTAAACTTCACGACACTATCATGGTTCGCTATTGGAAATTTCTCGTCTGTAACCTTTTGATATTTTTCTGCGTTGGTGTTGTGGCATTAGAATCATTCTTAGCGTCTTTCAAGAGTTCGGTCAACTTTTTCCCTTTACTGGCATCGACATTTCCTGTCGCGGGACCCTTTTATGTTGGGTGAGTGATTGGCTTCTGTTCGCCAGGAAGTTGTGATTGACATTTCTCCTTCAGTTGGTGTAAGTAATGGCCTATGCTAGGTGTGGTTCTTGTGCTCAATTCCCATCAGTAATATTACAGACCAGCATCCACGGCTTTTTAGAGCTGGGATTATGTACGTATATCATATTCATCCCTAGCCATTAGTAGAGCTCACCCTCACCCCTAGATGGCGTGAGTAGCATTGTATTCTGTAGAAGCAACGCTTAACAAACTTCTAATATCTAGCTCCCTCTCATTCTATACCCCTCTACACGTCGTTCTAAGACTCTACGCCAGCGCGCCGCCGGCATACGTCCAAGAACTTTTAATTTTTATTGTGCGTCACTGAATCGTTGTAGTTCAGGTTGCATTCTGTACTGTCTGACCAACGCACGTACACTCATAGATTGGCTTCCCAACCACGTTCTCGTAATGACCATTGTAGCTTGTTTCGCATTACTCAATCCCCTTGTAATACCCTTCGCGTTCGTGTATTTCTCTGTCGAATCTGGTGTGTATACTACTTGAACTCCACCTATTATCCTGTTACTCATTGTCTTTGCAGTCATTGTAAAACATCAGGTTTGCAGCCTTGTCGCAGTATACTGACAGAGCGTTTACTCGACTTTTTAAGCTTATTCACGTATATGCCAAAACGTATGAAAATAACGGACAACTTATTTTGATTCGGATAATGAGATATTCATTGGATGCGTTGTTACTGGCACATGTAAGTCATTGAGAACTAAGATCACGATGCATACTTACAGCATTCTAGGTTATCTTTCTTGCCTTCCTTCTTGTTCTCAAGGAGACGTCGGAAGCCGCAGTGACAGGTATTCTTCTTGGTTTGACCTTCATCACGAAACTACTGTGAGTTCTCCTCAAGTCTTTTGATCTATCTGATTCAGCTCTTTATAGGCTCACTCGCTTATGTCGCGCCAAATTCGCTGAAACTGACCGAACGGAAGACTTCGTTTATAGTAAGCTAAACGGTGAGATGGCACCTCCAGATGTCACCGAAGACTCCGGAGGAGGTGAGCCGGAAACCGATCAGCCAGGGAATGACACGCTTGCCGATTTTCTCCCTTATGGCACTACTAAATTCTGGACATGGAAGTCACTAAGACGAATTCCATTCAAGTACACATCCGTCCCACAAAAGCGGGCAGTAAAGCGACCGGCCAATCCTTTTGGACCAAACGCTTTATTGCATCAGCCACGTACTCCGCCAGAACACCCGGAATTGGGCAATAATGGTCAAAATAGCAGGGCTCCCAGGTTGGACTACGTCACAGCATCCGTAGAATGCAGGACTTTTGCGGACGCAATAGCACCTCCTTTGCAGACTGTGAACAGCCCACCCAGGCACACGTCTAGGGATTCACCTCAACCTATTGTCATACCCCACGTGCGACACGACACATGGGACGATTCTCCTCGTCTTGACCGCCCATATGAGAACCCATATTACGTTGCTCCGATCGAAAATTTTCTTTGGTTGCCGCGAAATCCGTTTGGAGTTTTAGATCTTGACGACTCAGTTGATCTACATCAAGCCCTTACCAGCGAAGTCGGCGCAGGAAAGCTAGGGCAGTGGATGGACGAGGCTGGGGAACCTTTTAAATCGCAGCCTGATCCACTTGTGGAAACACCCGACTCATTGCCGCCCCCTGACGTAACTGAACAAGATTCAAGGTCAAGCTTCCCCTTCATTCCCAGCCGACGCCCGAGCGGGAACGAGGGAATCTCCATGTCGTCTGTATTGTCAGCGCGTGCGAATAGGACTGAGCATGAAGTCGAAGTTGATCACACCATTCGCCCGCCATCCATTTTGAGGACAGCAAGCCACTACAGTGACTCGGAATCCAGACGGTATACTGCGCCACGCAGAAGACGCAGCAGTGCGTTCTCTATCTCGAAACCCCTTATGACGGGTTCCGAACAGGCAGCTTCTGGCGTTTTTGCTCCAATTTACCAAGTGGACACCGCTCGTTCACAGCAACGATCAAGGTCCAAGATATACGATCCTGTCCGTGAACCAGACGTTCAAGCCCAGGGGGCATTCTTAGATTCTACCCTGAGTATTTCCCTCTCACAGCGCGAACAGAGACAGAAGTCGACAGGATCGGCTATACCCGTACGAGAAGCCGTAGTAGGCGAAATTATTGTTGAAGAACAGGTAGAGGCGATGGAACGTATTTGGCGGGAAGAGGAGGAACAGCGGCGAGCCGAGAAACCTTCGTGGTGGAATGGTTGGTTATGGCATAAAAATCAGGCGAAGCCAAGTCAGGAAGAAGAAAAACAGTAAAGAACAATATATCCTTGATATTCCCGACATGTTACGACTTCTGTTAGTTTTCGGCTCATGTGACTAGTCAAATATATCTTTTACCTCGGAGCGGCAGTTGCCACACAACTTTTTTGATACATGAGTAAATACAACAAAATAACGAGACATGACAATGACAATGCGGCTAATGAAACTCGAATGAGACACTCTGATCGACGTAACTGCAATATCGCTCTTGTGGCCGTCCGTACAACTGACATACTAAATTGACCGAGAGTGAACCCACTTTTTTCATACTAGGGCAATAAAAGATAAGAGTTGATATTTCCTTCATGACGAGCTTTATGGATAGCCTACCGGGGAGAACACTGTAACGGATGATAATCTCTACTTGTCCATTGATTCTTGAATCGTTTTAGAGATCTGATATTAAAATAGCACTGTCCACCTCAATCAAACTCGAACACTTCACGGCCTACTCACCCGAAACCACTTAAGCTCCTCTTCTAATTGGCTAGCGCAATTTTTCAGAAGAATCTTGATGCCTTGGTGTCTGAAGAAACGATTGAAACCAGACATGTCCTCGACGCTGGTCACATGTTTGATTATCGTGCTCACCGCCCTCTTCATGTATAGGTAACCCCCCTGAGAATATTCATATACCAATACCGATATGAACACTTACGATAGCAACTCCTCCAGAGAGAACTTGAGATTTATTGACAGGTCGGCGGTCAACAATAACGGTGTCAAGGACCGGATTCGCTACTCGATCCTGGTTTTCAGGAGAGCGGTCGTGTGAGCATTCTCTTGAATGATCTGAACATAAAAACACTGATTAGTATTCGTTATAAAATGAGCAGCTATGTGGCTTACTGAAAAAATGTTTTTAGTGGAGGCGCAAAGCCATGTCAACTGGCCAAACGCCCGGAACATCTCCCACAGAACCTCCTGACCCTGCCTGAAGCCCACTTGTATCCGTCCGATGAAAGGAAAAACGTCTCATAGCGGCAAAATGTGAGGGGAACAGAGAGAAGAGTAACCAGTGTGGTTTATCACGAGCCTTACTAATAGTAGACAGAAATTTCTCATAAACAGAGAACAGTAAGTAAGAAGACAAAATATTTGGCTCCAGATTTAACCGAATTGGCCTTCCCGCCAATCTCAAATCGAACTACCTTACAGAAAATAGCTCATCGAAAGTTGTCATCCACACACAAGCTTCAGATTCCCTTTATCAAGGCTGGAAATGAGACGTTATTACGAGAGCGGTAGCAACAGTGTCCGTAGGTAGACGCAGAGCGGCCGTGTGTATTGCTGCCCAGTAGTCTAAAAGGGAGAAAATACTCCAAAGATATCGATGTCGACTAAACCTCAGGAAAACCTGACGTTAACGTCACTCCGACGAGTGGCGATCGATCGTTGCGGTGCATACATGGACGCCTGGGTGAAGATGAACATCCTACGACCAGTTTGTTGTCCACCCATGCGCGTATTAAGACAAATTCCTCTGTTCCCTTCACAAAAGAACTATGGGGCATGCGTATGGGGGGCTCCTCGGAAATTTATTAGTAGCTCAAGCAAAGTGGATTAAATCAAAGATGAGGGTTCTGAGGTTTCGCAGTTTGCCCTCTGAGAGGGAACTTGAAGTATATTTTTCTCGGAAACAATCGTGTCATTCAATGACAAAACAATATTAGAATAACTTGGGGACGGAAATTCGATGTTTACGAGCCGAACTGAGCTTTCTTCCTTGACGGTGGCTGTGTCTGTGAGTCGAGTTCGGTGGCGTAAGTGGCTGAGAACTCACTCATAAATAACTATGATGAACGTGTACTTTTCAAATACACATAGTTGGCGGTGAATTGTTACCGTGGTTTTCAATTGTCTGCTGGCGCATCCTACACCGTGTTTGGACTCTCCTTGTGTCACAGGAAAACGCTCTTTACGCGTGTTGCTGCTCTGCTACTGACAGGTTACTCAAAACACCGTTTACAATATGAAGAAGCTGAAGATTCATGCTAAGATGTCGAGGGATAGGAGAAGGAGATATGGTTTAAATTACATGATTTCCTATTGACAGAGCATGTATGTCATTTCTCTGTCTTTAAAAATATTTAAAGAGTATTACTTTATTCGGGATTAATTGTTTTGTGGAGATCCAATTAGTTCTGTTTTTTTTTTTCAGGGGAGTCGGAGGGTCTATAATTGTGGGAATGTATCCCATGAGTAGATGAGGGGCATCGCTCTAAATGTGGTCAACGGTTCTATGGGGTAGTGGTTAGCCCCCGGGATTTTGATTACATCATTGTTTCCCGTGACCCCGGTTCGAATCCGGGTAAAACCTGGTTTTTTGCCCTTTTCACCGGGCAGCCTCATAGATAGAATTTCCAGTCACTTTTTGTAGGTTGTAGAGTTAGCTTGGTGAGTATTCTGCATGTCATGAACTACCGCACATTGCAAATCACCTCTTTTGGCTGGCAATTCACCACCTAATCCCCATTCTTATATTAGAGTATGATACCTGTACACCGGGATGTATGTAACACGCAGGTCCCGATCATCATTGCGAGCCATTTCAAAAGGAAGAGCATAAGCACGCGCCCGGACAGAACAGATTTTGCTCGCCGATTGAACACTATATCACAATGGCAAACTGACATGAAGTCTACACACGACTGGTTAAAAGTAACGAGTCCCAACATAAATTTGCTTCGAAACCCATAAATAATCATGTGGTAGTAGGTTTTCCAACCTTCCTGTTTCGTTTTTTCTTATGCTGGGAACTTTCAGCATTGCTCTGTTGCGTTGGTAAAGGAACGTAGACCAAATTGTCATCTCTGAGATTCTGCCATCGACGTCCTCCAGAAGCTGCTTTCCCTTTTACGTAGTCTACATCTCGGGGTGGCTGGGGCGTACGGATCTCGACTACCTCCTCCGCAGGAGTGGACGGGTGTCGTTGGACGGACGGCTTAACGTTATACGACGCAACCATCACTTTCCGAGTTTGAGAATTGAGAGAAAGGACCTTTCGGGGTTGGAGGGCTGATGCTTCAGGCTGTCCAGTAGCCGTCGCAAGCGTCGGAAATGCACCAGCGGCACGCTGGAGTTCGTCCCGCTCCCTCTCCCGTTGTTCAACCTCTTGAGCTAGAACTTCCGATATTTCTTCGGAAATCCTTTGGATAAGAGTTGTGCGGGACGACGGATTAAGCAGAGGGGAGGCACAGTGCGGACAAGGATAGAATGGTGCTTGTAGCGAGCACAAGACAAGTCCGCATTGAAAACATAAAGGAGTGTATTTGGACAATGGGTGGGTTCGAGCTAAAAAATTCCTTAATTAAACAATGTCTCTTCATACCCACCAGTCCTTACCTTGACAGAAACAACCGCCTTTGGGATCCTTACTGCTCCCTTCATTTCGCAACCCCGCCAACAAACTCTCTAGCTTTGCAACTGCCTTGCTTTTCGGTAATTCATTCTCCTTTGTCTTTCCTTTATTACGGGTTGTTGTAGGATTGTTGCGAACAGGAGGGATGCGGTCTGAAGGTACGCTTGAAGACGATCTTGCCCATGCTGTTCGATTCATATGGGTTTGCGTGGCGTGCGGAGATTCAAAGCAGCTGCCGGAGAGACACAAACTAGGTATTGGAGAGAGTCTATTATTAATATTTCATCCTGAAATGCGACTTTCTCCCACTGTTCATGAGGGTCGAGACAGTACCGAAATTCCTGTTGAAAATATACGGCGGGTGTTCGTGCGGGTGAAGGGCGACAAACTTGTAGAATACAAGCGATGACTAAGCTTCCTACTAGCCGATTGCCCATTAAATAAATCGAATATCCACCTGGTAATATAGTATAACTCTAGTAGAAACCAAGACCATCAACAACTTGCAACATAAACATCAATACATCCCAAAAATTCCTAGTAGGCACTTTCCGTCATACTAGTGCTAGATGATAGCATATATGTGGTGCTGCCCACGAGCAGAGGGCTGACAAGTGCTTGTTAGCTGCGAGTCCTTCCCCATATATTTGAATAGCTCAAGAATGTCCAAATGGTACGGGGGAGGCATTGAGCCCCAAGATGATCTAATACTAAAGGTTATCCCTGGCGTAAGCATGACTACCGGTTTGACAATGTACGTTAGAATCCGTTCCTGTGAATATTATTTCTCTTGCAAAATATAAACATATTATTGAAAAACTTGAAAGTCGCCTTAAAGGACTGTCAAAGAAACATGTCGTGTAGCATGCAGCTACGAACTCTCATATACATCGCAGACCAACGTCCACACGAGATGTCACACTTTTTTGTTAGAAATATTAGACCAAGGTGCACTCACAAATCCATATTGCACGCCACGCCAACCAGATATTCTTTGAGACCACACGATATCTTCTCCATATAGATCAACGGATGGATAAGATCCAGTTCCCGTCCTTTCTAGGGATTACAGCGATCGCTATCGTAAGAGGGTGCTGCAATGATAAGCTCTCCTAGACTTGATGCCGCTTAATTACGTCTTCCCCTAGGTTTCAACGTTCTTCTTCACTATTTTAAATGGGGAAACTAAAATTCACAGTAAGGAAGAGGAGGAGACACCAACCGAAGCAGGCGAAGTAAGTGGAATAGTTAGCAGTCTAATAATGCGAGGTATCGCCACTTATAGTAGTGACTTTCCCCTTTAATAGGATTCGCAAACCAACAGTTCCTCAAGCTTCATTTCCTTGCCCTTTTTCAAACTTTCCTATCGAGCTCATTCAGCGGATAATCCGCTTTGCAACGACGGATTATTCGACAGCGAGGGCGTTATCGACTGTCTCAAACGTTGTCAGGACGTGGATCCCTCCTGTGTTCTTCCGAACAACTTTTTACTGGATGTCAACTAGGAAATATTACAATCTCAGACCGCATACAAAATCTTTTGAGAATGTCCACTTCTTCTGGCCAAATGCTTCATCCCAACCACGCTATGGGAACTGGACAGCTTTGAAACATCTCAGTGTATCCATCCCCACTCTATTAGACACCTCAGTACTAGTGCCTTTTGGTTCATGTCCACATCTTACGCATGTGGTCCTCGAGGTCCAGGTCTATCATACGAATCTATTCCATTTGGGGGCTTTTCAAACAGTCACACACTTGTTTTTGAGAATAGACAATGGTACGCGGTGCGCAAGATCCACAATTCGGCCTCCCACCCTGGCCAGGTGTGAGTCGTTCATCCCACAGTACCTTCCGCGCCTGGCAGTCCCTGTCTTCTCAATAGCTCCTCAAGACATAGAGGAAGAGCACTTCACGAGATTCTTAAATAAAATGGACACATTCTTCCACCTCCGTGTAGTTGGTCTCTATCCATATCATATCATCCAGCAACGGCATTCGAAACTTGCCCATTCGATGATAAAGTCGAGGATCAAAAAGCTGGCGCACCGGAATCTTGAAAAGATAGTCGTTTTGCCACCACGAGACTTCAGGGCCTGTGACTGGTATAGCTGGGAACATCCCGATGGTCCAAGTAGCGTATGGGATGAAGCAGAACGACTCCTTGCCGTGAACAGGGAAGTGGTCAGTCCAGCAGGGGGCAAGGTAGTTGCTTAATTTTTCAGTTCTTTCTGGCTTGACAAATCCATGCTAGGGAGGCGAGGAAAAATAGCGAACAAAGGGCTACCATGACAATTTAAACCAGACAGGCCACACTTCCTTTTTTCCTTCGGGTTGAAATGTTTGTTTTAAATAAACTGTGGACACGGGCTAGGAATAACGAAATGTGAACGGCACCGCGCTTCCCCTGAGACTGGATAAGGTGTTATATTGTGCAACCGAGGATCAAAATGTCGAAATTGTGCTGGTGCTATTAAAAATAATATGAGTTGACTTATTGTAATACACAATCTACAAGGGTTTAATAGAGTTGTAATAGAAGTACTTGTGTCTCAATCAATGTGTCAGTTAGAATCACCTTCTGACATGATAGGTTCGGTGCTAGTTTAGGCGTACATTGGTAAAAACATGCAAAAGCATGGTCCACAATTAGCATTTTCATATAAAAAGTTGACGGAATAGGTGAACCGAAGGGTGTTTCATCATCATTTCCAACAGGTGCTAACTACACTGAGTTCCAGGGAATATATATTCGAATAACTGTTTGAGGATACGGTTCTTACCAAAGTATGTCATATACTGCTAGAGTTGACGTTGCTCCTTTAACTTGAGGAGTAGCGCATGATCCCTGTAAGGTAATCTTAAAAACGGCTTGTCCTGTCGCACTGCCAGTTAGAGGGGCATATATACTATTTAAATGGAAGTTTCAATTAATAAAGAGTTTATATAAAGTTTGTCGCCTCCAAACCTCCCTAAGGAGACTGTCTGTCTCAATTCAATTTTTAATGAAGAATAGATCATCGGCACTCTTCAGTCTGTTTTCCCAATCCTACTTTGGTGTTTTGGGTCCCTGAATTAGTTGTCCGCCAGTACTTGAATGTATCGCGGGTCCAAACAACTGGGAATCTAGGACTCACCGTGAGTTCTCGATGTTTTGCTATTTCAACGATCGATAAGTAGAGCTCACAATCCAACTGTGGCTGTCCACTTTCCCAAAGCCCTTGTGAACTGTCTTAAGGGTATTCGACGTAGATGAAAGGATAAAAAATACTCATTAGAGGTTAGATGCAAACATATAAATATATTATTGAATAAACTCAAAATTCGCCTTGGAGGAGCTAGCTTCTGGGCTCCTACGTATTTCGTCACGGTGTGCCTGACTTTCTTATGAATATTGGGCTTGAGCGAACGGACGCATTCTCACTGTGGTAGGAAAGGCTTCTGAGTGATATTAAGTTTTTGAGGGATGCAAATGAAGCGCACTTCGACAGATTTGACTGCGGGTGAATGTAAGGGATGAGTTTGTCCCAGTTGTAATGCAGGTAAGAGCGGACCCCGAGGGAACGCTTGAACATTTACTTATAGGGAAGAGCAACAGTTAAACAGTTAAAACCTGCCGCCTTTTAACCCAAATCTTCGAACCAGACAAACGTATTATTCCCAGGTCATTCGTCTCATGACAGAATTGTGGTAGAAATTGGGGTCAAATAATCAGTTTCAACAAAATACCATGACGCTGTTATTAATTTCTTCAAGTTATTATTTGTTTTATCTTTTTTCCTCGCATTTTGGTAAAAGGGCATGAATTATAGATAAGGATATTACGTAGCGTCTATCTATGCTACTGCCAAAATTGCCAGGGGGGGGACAGTAAAGTTTAAAACCAACTGATCAAATTCGGCCTCCTTCTTAGCAATAGCTTCAACCAAAGCGTGGTTAGGGTATTCCGTTTGCAGCTG